CGTAACACATTGGAGTAAAGGATGGCCCACATTAGCACACTCACATAAACTTGTAGAATGCCTTCCTCAGAGTTTATTCAAGCCCAGACTCCATGCAAAGTTCAGGGATTTGGACTCTGTTCATCAGTAGACATTATTACAAATAATCCAATCCCATTCAATAAATATTTAGTGAACAGTGACTACAAACTTCTAACTGCGCTGGGAGCCAAACATTCTCACATATTTTTGATTCTCAAAAATTGTATATCTTCATTAGCATTCTTTCTCTTTAGAGAACAAAACCCACAGGACTTAATAATTCATTCCCTTTGTGAAAAGTCCTAACTTATGATTCATTAAAATAAACTGTAAAGGAAAAGCCGGAGGACAGGTCAATTCCAACAGTTCCAACAGGCCTACTTTTGTCAGGAATTAATCAATTATACCACTGTGTCAGCTTCATGTCATTTCAACAACACAACAACCAAGAAAAGATAAACAGTGACCATGAATATTAAACATGTGTCAGAAATTTCAAATTATTCCTACATAGTGCTAAATAAGAAATCATTTATTTACACTAATGTGTTTAATTTGGAAAATTGTATTCAGTTAGCTAATCCAAATTCAATAGTGTCTGAATGCTACCATGAATAAGCCAACTGTTTTATGTAGCAAAATGCATTGTGATTTTCTGGTTAAAATTTAACCTTTACAAAAGCTTTCTGATTGAAATTTAAACTTTGTATTCTCATGTTATTTTCCTGTGAGCATGCTATTATCAGCCATACTGTTTGGAGAACTCAACAGGCAGTGAATATTCATTGCATATGTTATAGTATTAATGCAGAAATGGTTGGTGAATGGATAAGAAAAAATGTCATCTCCATCCTGGTTTGGGGAGACGGTGCTCCATTTGTATTACTGCAGAAAAACAACTGTCATCTCTTAAAATTGCCAATGTGTGCTACCGTCTTTGGATGGTCAATTTTCTCTCTCAGAAAGCAGTATTTACTGATTGGCTACCACTCTCACTAATAAAGCAGAAGAAAGCATGTCAAGACTGAAAGACGTCCATAGATAACCAATACAAGTAGCTTTACTACCACAAGCATTTGTGCTACCTTCTCTCTGTGCGCTGTACTGCTCACGGTAATGATCAAAGATTTATGATGCAGCATTTTTGATTTAGCAAATTCACTCATGTTTTAATAACTTATACTACTGAAGTTATAGATTTTTTGAGACAAGTTTTATATTGGTGATATTTTGTGAGTCATTGTCCACATCTGCCAATGCAAAGATGAACTGATTCTCGTGGGAGAAATGACCTAAAAAGTGAAAGCAGCCAGGCTGAGCTACAAGACAGAGTGCAGCTGAACTTAACACAGATCCCAATAAGCAGTCCTTGAATCAAATGTGAAAACTGAAAATACAGTTGCCAAAGCTTTCATTTCTTAACTGCACTCTCTTCCCTGATCTTCTTTGTATTGTTACCAATTGTCATACATACAAATATCAGAAATTGGCTCCTCTTCCCTGCTTTCCACAGCTCTCACTCTACTTCAGCCAGGGTTCCAAACTATCCCATGAGCTCACCACATCTGCTACACATTCAAAGTTTCACAAATGTGGTGAGTTCGGTTATGGGAGAGGGCATGGAGGGCCGGGGTCTAAAAACTAGACCAATCAATTAGGGTGTGACTGGAACTTGAGTGAAGACTCATCAAAGGGCAATGTAAATGCAGGCAGTGAAGCGGAACCAAGTATGAGGGGAATGTGTTGGCAAGCGCTGGGTGGAGATGCCGGCAGGAAGACAGATGGCAGTGCCGAAGAGGCCCTGTAAATGGTAACAGACAGACAGACAGACAGACAGAGCGCAGTGGCCCAGCCGTTCCGAATGCTTCACGCAAGAAAGGAAAGATCTCTACGTCGGGCGGACTTAGCTTCTCTCTGCCCAGGAAACTGACCCTGGGAGATGAATTCAGCTCTCAGCAAAAACAAGATTCAAAAGCAAAGCACACACTCTGCCAGGAATTTCACTAGACCCTAGTTTGACAGTCACTTCATGAAGATTAGAAAGTTTGTAGTTTCCAGATTAAGGAAGATCTTAAAAGCTGGGCTGAGGAGTTTGTATTCTTTTTTATTAGAAAGTCAGATATACAGAGAGGAGGAGAGACAGAGAGGAAGATCTTCTGTCTGCTGATTCACTCCCCAAGTGACTGCAATGGTCGGTGCTCCGGCGATCTGAAGCCAGGAGCCAGGAATTTTTCCAGGTCTCCCATGCGGGTGCAGGATCCCAAGGCTTTGGGCTGTCCTCGACTGCTTTCCCTGGCCATAAGCGGGGAGCTGGATGGGAAGTGGGGCTGCCAGGATATGAATCGGCGCCCATATGGGATCCCAGCACATGCAAGGGTAGGAACTTAAGTCACTAGGCTAATGTGCCAGGCCCAGGAGTTGTTTATTATTATGATTATTATTTATTATTATAGAGACAGAGATAGGCAGACAGACAGAAAGATAGCTCTTGTCCACTCCTCAGATGTCCACAATACCCCAGGCTGGGTCAGGCTGGAGCCTGGAGATGGTTTCCCATGGGGCTGGCAGTAGTCTCATTATCTGAGCCAGCCATCATCTGCCATTTCCCAGGCTCTGCATTAGCAGGAAGCTGGAATCCAGAGCTGAAGCCATGATGTAGATGTCTCAACCACTGGGCAAACATCCTCCCAGCAAAACAAAAGAAAACAAACAGCACACAGTGCAAGAAAGGTGACCTGGATTTGAATGCTGACTTTCCCACTAACTGATCATGAGGTCATGAGAAAGGAACCCATCTCTTTCTAAGAGCCTCAGTCTGTACCCTTACCTCCTGAAGTAGCCATGAATATTATGTGATATGCAAGTTGTGCAACATTTAGCAGTAGAAGGTGGGGGTTGTCCCACTCTCCTTTGAGATTTAAATATTATAGGCTGAATCTCTTTGCCTCGAGCAGTGAGCAAACTATTTTCCCATTGCAAGCCTGATGGTGTTCCTCAGACTGGAGAAGAAACAGGAAATCCCTCCAGAGTCAGACTGAGATCATGATGACCCAGTGAATCTGTGCATCTCGCTCCTTTCTGGGATGCCAGTCTTCGCGAAGAAACCGCTCCTTTCTCAACATGAGCTTCATACAAGCATGTGTCCAGCAGAGAATCTGAAGGCATTCCTGCAGCAGCATCACAGGCCGTTCTAACACAGAGCTCCTCTGGCGATGGCAGCCCCTGTCTTTCCAGACACCTTTCCTGCTCATCCCTGTTGCCTGGGATCCCTGGCCCCTTCTTCACTGATCTCTCATGCCACTTCCGCCCCAGGGCCAAGCCCTGCTAACCCCCCTTCAGACAGAATAGGATCATTTTTGTCTCAGACTTCTTTCAGTCCAAATATGCCAGCAAGTCTCAGCTTTCACACAATGTTTTCCCCAAGAGAAATACTTGTTTAAAAAAGAAAAATAGCAAACCCCTTTTAGAGTGCATCCTGCATCCTGTATCTCAGAAAAAAAAATGCAAAGGTTTTAAAATAGTAATAACATAATCCTAAAAATAATACATTTTATCAATAAAGAAACTAAGTCAAGTCATATAGTTAGTAAAAGAGCCAAACTTCTGCCTCTGTTTGCAGAGTCTCATAGCAATAGGCAGAATCCAGCACATGTCCCAAATAGATAAATTATTAAGACTGTTCTGCAAGTAGACTGTAGGACAAGTCAAACACAGCAAGATCACTTAGGGAACTAAGGCCGTATTTCTCCGGTTATCCTGTGGAGCACTCGTCTTTCAGCATTCATGGGCAAACGCTGTTCCCATCTCAGACATTCACAACTCTTCAACATAGTAAAGCTTCTTACAACTTGTCAGAAAGCAATTTCTTTTGTGTATGTCAGAACTTCACCAATATAATTATATATTTTGTCAAATAACATTTGTGTGTGTGTGACAAAGACAGACAAAGACTGACATGGATAGAGATGGAGAAAGACACATTCCTATCAGTAATGAATAGAGCTAATAGTCCATTGGACTTACACTGGAAATAGCAATTTCTGTGAAGGTTGAGACACTTCGCAGGACTTGACAATGCAAGTAGGTATAAAGAACAAAAATAAGGAAATACAGGGGATGTGTAATGAACATGAATTTAGCCACAAGTATCATTCTCTTCTTGTCTGTGGCATCCTACACGAGACCTGTGTATTCAATTGAAAATTCAATTAGCATTACTCTCAAATCTATGTAAACACTATCCTAATGTCTCTATTTCATCCTAATGTCTCTATTTCACAAACTTTTAAGCAAGCACTTTCTCAGCTCACATTTGCTTTAAAATGTTTTTGTAACCAGCAAAGTGTTTTGTTACAATATCACGTCTGATGTTCAAATTCCATTTTTTCTGCTTCTATATTTGCTATTTGTCCTTCTTTTTCATCTTTATTTGATCTGTGCCCTTGACACTGTACCTGGAGTTTGAAGTGGGTAAATGTCTTGTGGCTGATGAAGCATGGCATTGGGAACAGAGGAAGTGGGTGAGTGAAAGTAGGTTTTACTGGAAACAGACTCCTGCTCAGCAAGAGGGAACCCAAGGGAAGGTTCCAGATAGGTCTGGGTATGGAAGTTTATCTAAAGCTGGATCTATTGATCAACTTCACATATAGTTTCTGAAGTAAGATGTCTGGCTTTTCCTTTTTATAAATATATTTGCATCATGAGTCTGGTTTGCAGCTTTTTGAGAAGTGGTCAGGGTCTTTGAGGGCTAAGCCTGATTATTAAGGAACTGGAAGTATGTCACTATACACATTAAAAAATAAAGCGGGAAGAGGGAAGGTAGGAACAGGACAGGAAGGAGGAGAGGCTGGGCAGTGTCACTCCTAAATTTGTGTTGTGAAGTACATGAAATCTGTTCATCATACAAAAATAAAATCAAGAGAGAGGAGAAGAGAAATGCATATTTTACAGATATTCTGTGCAATGGTCATGTTCAAATGTATTTTCTCACTGTTGTGGTCAGGTCTGGAGTCAGAGCCAAGAATGTTATCTTGCTGACCACCTGAGAACTACTGCACCTGCGAACAGAATGCTGAGCAGGTAAGACATGTATAGGGTCTGATCTGATACCAGAGCCTAGTAACGTACGGGCACAGGACTGTCTGCACCCTCGGGAGTCATCAGGTTCCTGTATCTCTGCCTCCTCACAACACTACGTTAACATGCTACCGACAAATTCTATTCTTGTCCCCATTTCAATGTGCTTATCGACTGCTTCTAGCCATCGTAAGTGACCCTTTTTTCCAGTTGAAACCATCATGAAGATGCTTCCCACTTACCAGGTCCCAGCTCCAGCCATCCTGCCAGATTCACTCCAGAAATTCATATGACACAGACACAAGAACACTGCACGCTCAGCACAACATCATATTGTATTTTCAAACCTACAAGAGAAGGATGCATGCAGAGGGATGTTTATTTGTGAAAAAAATATATGGAAAATATTGTATCTAGTTTGACAAAGCTCCCATTTTCACTGGATTGAAAGTGTTTTCATAAATGCTGGAGAATAAGAGGAAGGCCTCGCAGGGCAGCTGTATGATCTCTCGGCCCCCTCTGTGGTCAATTACTGCCTTTGCCCAGTAGATTCCAGTGGTGATGGTGACAGGGCAAGGGGAGGGTGGTGGCAACAGCAGCATGAGTGTTTGGCGGGGAGGAGGTTGGTTGAAGAAGGAGGAAGAACAAGAAGTCAGCCTTTAATCTAATGAGATGCATGTGGGATGCCTGGATCCTGGACCAGAGCACCTGAGTTTGAGTCCTGACTGCTCTTCACTCTAACTTCCGGATATTGTGCATGCTGACGAGGCAGCAGGTGAAGGTCCAACTCTTTGAGTTCTCATCACTTACATAAGAGATCTGAGCTGAGTTTCTGACTACCAGTTTCCATCTGGTCCAGCCCTGGCTGTTGCAGGCACTTAAGGAATGAAACAGCAGATGGGAGTCCCTCTTTTTCCGTGCATGTGTTAAATAAAGAAAATATTTAAGAAACAAAAAGCAACTCCCTTTCTCAATGGATTGGATGACTAACAGAAAAGATAAGTAATTAAAAATCTACATATTTTTCTTCCTTCTCAGAACAACCTCCCCTTACTTCTTCCCACCTTTTTCTTCCTTCTGTAGGCTATCCAGTCTGTGCATACGGCACACAATAGACATACTCAACCTTGTTCCTGCTCAGGTGGTGGTGGCTCTCAGTGTAGAGAACCAGGCTCAGGGACCTTAGGGTGCTGCCCACCTCCCAATCAATCACTCAGCTCTCTGAATGAGGATGTCATTCATGGAAGCTTTTCATTATCCCCATATCTAGCTTAAGTGATTTTGCCCAGAGTTTGATGCAAGACATCAAAATTAACAGCCAATAACTTCCCAAAGAAACTGACTTCATGTGCAACCAGGAAGTTGCAGAGAAGCTCTTCTCCATAGAATCTTAAGCCTAAGGTGCTCTCAAGGAAGGTGGAGGCTGCGACAGAATGCAATTGGAGGCTCTAATAAAGATATAACCAGCCTTTAAAGGATTATTTTTGCAGGTTTCAGGCAGTTCAGAGGCATCATTCTGCAATCAGAATAAACAGTTGTTTCTCAGAAAAGATTCTTTCCAAAAAACCACTTTGATTGAATCAGTTTATTAAGGAAAGGCATGCCCAAGGCATTGCTGAAAACAATAAAAGTACTGGCAGATATTTAATGGAGCTAGACCATTGGCTATAGTCAGGGACAGAGTAGAAAAGTGTTTTATCGGGACCTAAACAAAGTTGTACTTCGCTGATGAAGCATGGTCAGAGTCTTAACTGTGTGTTGAGGGAGGAAAGGAGAATAGAGTTTATTAAAATAGTCCAGTCATCAAAAAACAAACTAGTCACAATAAAGATTAGTAAAGGGGGAAAGGAGATATAATTATAGTTACTATAGTATCTTTCACTTTTTAAAATTTATGTGTTTGAACAGCAGAGTGACAGAGAGAGGAGAGAATTAATTATCCCAGCCACTAGAATAATTCCCAAATAGGCTCAATGGTCAGAGGTGGGCCAGACCAAAACCAGGAGCCAGGAATGACATCCCAGTCTCCCATGGGTGTAACAGAGATCCAAGTACTTGGGTCATTATTTTCTTTCTCAAACACAATTCCGGGAGCAGGATCTGAGGTAGGACTCAAACCTTCAGTTTGTTAAGCCAACATCACAGGCACTGGTTTAATGCACTATACGACAGTGCTGGCCATAACATGTTAATCCTAATGTCCATTTCCATTGAAAAAGTATGAGACCTGATAAGAAACGGGAAATATTACTGATATATCAGGTAGGGGTAGAAGAATAGTGAAACTGTAAAACAGTAAAACAATAAAAAATGTAAAGCATAATAAAGACCTGATGGTGGATTAAACAGAATAAAAAGTTTTAAGTAGCCATAAATAAGAGTATGGAACTAAGAGAAAGCATAGTTAAAGAAGTCAAAGAAGATGTAACGACAATGTCACATCAATTAGATGATATATATAATGGAACTTTAGAAGTCAGAAAAAAGAAAGGAATTAAAATATGAAGTAATGAAATTTATTAAATGAATTTAAAAATCATGAGGGAAGCAGATTTCAACTGGGAGGAGACCTAGCAAACATGAAAATAGATCAATAGAGATTTTATAAGCTGTAAATACAAAAAAATTCTGAAGAAAATGAAAATTTATGTTAGAAATGTATGAAATACTATGTGTTCTTAAATATGAACAACTGGAATAGCAGAGGATGAGAGAAAGGAAAGTATTGATAGAAAATTACCATTTTTTATTTTAAAAAAACCCCAGCAATTTACATATCAAGAAGGCTTAACAGATTCAAGCAGAATAAATAAAAATATATCATACAGATATATACTGTACATCCCAAAAGACAGAGGAAAAATTCTTGAAATCAGTAAGAGAAGACACACTACAATAACTCAGTAAGATTAACATCTGACTTCTCAAAGGAAGCAATGGAGGGAAAGAGGCAGTGGAATTTCGTATTAAACTCAAAGACTCACCAGTCAAGAGTTGTACATCCAGTTGAGCTGTGCTGTGGTGCAGCAGGCTAGAATTCCACCTGCAGTACTGTCATCCCATATAGGCACCAGATTTGATTCCTGGCTCCTCCACTTCTGATGCAGTAGACAGTTGAATATAAGACTGGCCTTCTCTCTGTGCCTCTGCTTTCAAATAAATAAAAAAGTAAAATAACATTGTAATCCAATACAGTTATTATTTGAAATGAAGGGTAAAGAAAGTTTTTCAGATAAACAGAGGCTAGGAGAATTTGCTGTTTTCAGTCTCAAGATAAATATTAATGTAGCCGAAAATCAGGTGGTGCCAGTTAACAATTCAAATCCACCTAAATACAATACAAAGCATGACAATATTGATGCCAATAATGATGATACCATGAACTATAAATAACATCATAAAAACATAATTTCCTTTATTTTCTTAACTGATTTTAAAAACACATAAAAATAGCATACACATATCTACAGAGTATTGTCAGACCTATAACACAAAAGTATAAATATACAGACATATAGCCTATATGTATCCCATGCTACACAGTAGCAAAGGCTACTGCAAATAGCTATATGACATGGACATTTGTGTGTGTGTATACTACAACATGAAATCACTAGCACATATAATACACAGAAGATTATTCTCTAAAATAAAATGATTAAAAGTATAGCATAGTCAACAAAGTCATAAGTCAGTTATTACCAAGTGTTTTGTAGCCTTTATAATTACATAAATGTGCTATACCTTTACATCTTTTATGATGCAATAGGTTGATTTATACCAGCATCATCACAAACATGTAAATAACACATTATATAAAATGCTATGATGCTATGATGAATATGAAATCAACAGAGGATAAGCATTTTTTCAGCTGTATTAAAAATGTTATTGAGTCACCATTAAATACAAAGTCTATTGTCGGCTAAAAAGTTACACAATGTGCGGCTGTGTTTTCGAAGCACAGAGGAGTGGAAGTCAAGCTGCGGAGGGCTAAGGAAGCGCCTGTAGATCATGAAGTCACAGGAGAGAGAGCAAGGAAGGAAGTGGAGGAGGGACATGATCCTCCCCAGTCCTTGCCTGTGTTTGCCTGTAGAGATTAATGTGACTTTGGTGTCTTTGTTTTTTATTTATCTCATGTTTTACAACAGTGAATATATTAAAATGACTTTTCCATGTTGATCTCACAACTTCAGAAGCAAGCAGATCACTGAACAGCCTCTCTCACTGAACATATAATATCAGTTTCTGAACTCTTTTTCTCAGGATGCTCTTGGCTGATTTCTTGTTTTTGCATGTTGTAGTCTGCTTGCTGCAAGTCACATCTCTCTCCCCTTCTCTGTCCATTACTCTCTTCTTTGCCAAAAGCAAAGGGAAGTTCTAATCTACTTAGGGCAGAAAATCTGGAGAATCAAGATAATAGATAGGAGCACAAAGTCGGAAGAAATATACACTGCTGAGAGTTCAATGTACCTACTGTGTGTTTCTCTTCACCTGTGTTCTGTGCAGCTAAGGTTCTGAGATAAACAGCCAGTGGTCATGAAAGGATGTTTGAACTAACACCTAATTTCATTTATAGCAGATCTTTGTATCTACAACTCTAACTTTGCATCTGAGATGTATAGTGAGTGAAATGTGTATAGTGACTGAACTGGAAAGCAGAAATGTTTCTCATCTGACTTTTTCCTGAACTGGAAACCTCAAGCTGCTCATTCCAAGGAAGGAGACAAGGATGGTGCATCCAGAATATTCTATTTACTTCTTTAATTGTAATACGCTAAGTACTGACTTTGAGAAATCGCTATCATATATTTACAACTCTGATCTTTTTCAAGAAAACCAAGATAACTTTTATCATAATTCTTAGAGGCAAAACATTGATGATCAGGGAATCCTTCTTTTACATCTAAAAAATGATTATGGATATGCACAATGTCCTTTCATTCCACTGATGATAACTTCATGTTCTAAAAATGACAAACTCTAACCATTTTTAATTTCATAGTTATGTCTACAACGGGTTGGTGTCCCAGATCCAGCATTTTGTTTTAAGAAAGCTTTAGAAATGGCCTTTCTGGGTACAGAGAACACCAGGTTCTCTGTAGGTGGATTTGGGCATTGTGCATGTTGAATTTATATCCTTCCTTAGTCTTCTCTGGATTTACACATTTGAAGCTGGGTGTGATTAAATCATATAATTATATTATTCTTCCACATTCATGTGAAGTCCTTGTATTTTTTTTTTTGTGTGTGATGTGAACATCTGTGTTTTATAAAGCTGTGTCTTAGGGAAAAGAGAAAATTTCAAAAAAAAAAAAACCTGTGCTAATTGATAGTTACTAGTTTCTCTGTTAATTCAGATTCATAGCTACAGATCATGAGGCTTTTAACCTATTGTTCCAAAGAATAATAGCATAATTATTTGAAAGGAATTTATGTACAGGATAAAAATGACAATGTTACAGGATTGTTAGGACTTGGCAGTCATCACCAAAGAAATGAGCGCATCCGTGACCAAGAACAACTCAGTACAAGTACTCCTGTGATTACCAAGTGAACAGACTTACAGAAAGCTATGATTCTTCAGAAGACAGAATTTCTGCTAAAGCTAACAGTAGTGTCAAATGTAATAGAAACTTTTGTAGTATAAACAATAAAACTGCAATGAATTTGACTAGAAATATCAAAGTCATTTCAAGTAGCTCGTTCCTCCTCAGAGGTGCCTCCCCCACTTGTGTGATTTATTCTCCACATGAATATTGCAAAGAAAGCACTCCATACGTCCTGATGAATATAACAATTACAACACAAAAGAAATCATTAATGCATTAGAACAGAAGTGTATGGTCTGTTAGCATCTAGTTAGGCTTTTGCTGTAATTATTTTCCATTTGCAAAATTTCCTTCTTGTAAAAATGATAAAACAAATTACAACTATTCACTTACTTTAATCAGCAGCACCAAGGCACATTTTAGTTTCATCTGTACCCTTTTAATATTTTTGTCCTAATGATCTTAACTGCTGAAAAACCAAATATCTTAACATCAAGTCTTTTACAATAACCATATTATAATTTTTTAAAAAATAAATTTCATTTTTTAAAAATAATGATTATATAGTGGATCAGGGTGGGAAGGATCGAGGTTTAGGGAAAATTGGGTGAATTCATTGCTTCCAAATGTGCTATTTCTTCTTGTTCCTGGGGGAAGGGGAGAGACAAAGGGGGAAATCACTCATGACTTTCCACACATCCCAGTACCCAGGGATGAGGAACCGCCACCTCATATCAACCCAGAGTCTCAATGTGTACATATTCCGAGGGTTCCTAGGCATCTTATTTCTTTTCCCCAGAGAAACTGACCAGATGTGTTTCTGGCATCATATATGCTAAAACATTGACAGAGAAGAGAAAAGTATCACAGATCTCCACACATCCACCCAAGTTTGCTTCATTTCAGTTCCACCCAAGGAAGGGCTTAAGTCATATCCCTATGCAGTACACTGTGGTTTGGAGCATGTTTATATTCTTTTTTTTTTTTAAAAGAGTTATTTATTTTTATTGGAAAGTCAGATATACAGAGAGCAGGAGAGACAGAGAAGATGATCTTCCATTCAATGATTCACTCCCCAAGTGGCTGCAATTGCTGGCATGTTAATATTCTTAATGATTTCTTTTTTTTTTTTTTGCAAAGTGACAAAGAGAAACACACAGAGAGAGAGATAGAGAGAGAGAGAGAGAGAGAGAGAGAGAGAGAGAAAATCTTCCATCTGTTAATTCCCTGCCCAAATGGCCACACCATCCAGGCAAGCTCGAGATGAATCCAAGTCTAACCATGTTGACAATGTGAGTTGCAGGAACCCAAACACTTTAGTCACAATGTCTCCCAGACGTGTTAGGAAAAAATCGGATCAGAAGTCTGGAGTGCCAGGACTGGACACTCTGCTATGGACACTCTCCCTTGCTGCATTCTCTCACTTAGAGAGTCACAGATTAAAAGATGGTTTCCTGTAACCACCTTACTTGCTACAATTGCTTTGCATGGCATCTTCTAATATATTTCTTGAGCATAGCAGGAAAGGAGGGTGCTTTCTGTGCAAATCTGGGTTGTGAATTCTTCATTTAGCTTTCTAGAATGACCTCACTTTGGAAGCTGAGTTAAAAGGACCACAGCTTGCAGTAATCAATACTCCACCCCCCCCCAGTAACTGTTCCTTTCACAGCTCTGCTATCCAACTTAACTCTCCTTTCGAACTAGGACTACTGTTGTGAGAAATCACTCTTTGCTGTAGAAGCTCATGCCAGAAGCCTTGCCTCAGTCCCACAGTGTGCTGACCTTGCCTGTCATCTGGGAGGTTGGCAAAGCCTTTGGGAGTGCCCTGTGCACACAATGGGACCAACTCTAACAATGCATTCCCTCTCCTCGTCTTTTCTATCTTTAACACATTCTACCTGGTTATTACCCTCAGTTGTTTCCTCCCAGGCCAAAACATACCCAAATATCATGAGCTTGTATTTTACATGAAAAAGCACAGAGATACTAAACACACTGTAACGCAGCACGCCTCTTCTTCCTGCTTGGTAAAAAATGCGGCATTTTGCCTGATGTAAATTGGCCTCATTTCCAATTCACTACTTGCTGTCTCCTCTTTTGAGTTGAAAGGGCTTCAGGTAGGAGTCATCCAACACTGATGTGTCACATGAAACTTTCCCTTTTCCACTCAGCGCTAAGGAAAATATTTGCCTTCTACTTAACTAACAGGTCTTTTCTTTAAAACTTGCTGAACTTGTTTTTAACTTAGTAACTTCAGAGCAGCCCTAACAGGGATGCTTTAGATTTTCATCTCTTTCATGTCTTAGAGGGGAAAAAAAAAGAGAGAGAGAGAGTGGGGGAGGAAACAGTCTCTAAGGTTACAGGCAAAGTAGAGAGACTGCAGAACAGATTTTTAATTCATAAAACAATCATTTAAAAAAGTTATCCTTAGCTTACGATGCATTGTTTTCAAATAAATATCAGCCAAAAGAAGTCACTGTCACAGACATCAAATATGTAAACTGTCAAT